CATGTCCACCAGGAAACGGGTCAGACAGGAAGCATGTCCACCAGGAAACAGGTCAGACAGGAAGCAGGTCAAACAGGAAACAGATCAGACAGGAAGCATGTCAAACAGGAAGCATGTCCACCAGGAAATAGGTCAGACAGGAAGCAGGTCAAACAGGAAACATGTCCACCAGGAAATAGGTCAGACAGGAAGCAGGTCCACCAGGAAACAGGTCAGACAGGAAGCATGTCCACCAGGAAACAGGTCAGACAGGATGCATGTCCACCAGGAAACAGGTCAGACAGGATGCATGTCCACCAGGAAACAGGTCAAACAGGAAGCATGTCCACCAGGAAGCAGGTCAAACATAAAACAGGTCAAAAAGGAAGTAGGTCAAACAGGAAGTAGGTAAACCCAACAGTTAACATCAAAGCATTTCTTACAACCAAAGACTAAAGAAAAGTTCCTGAAGCTTCAGAGACAGAACTCTGATCGAGAACAATCGAAGGTTCCACAGGTCTGAGCAGGAACTGTTGATCCAGAACACTTGAACAGAGAACAAGAACATCCAGAGGACAGTATGAACCGGATCAGGTCTGGATCAGGACTTTGTTAGGACCGCATCGTGTCCCTTTAGATCTTTTTGTTAAACATCGTGTGTTTCTTCAAACTGTGATAGAAATATTCAAACCATCCAACAACTCCTCTGTTTGATGAACCCGGCTCTGGTTTTAGTTGCTCAGCCACTGGACTCTGAGTCCATCAGAACCTGTGATTGGACCTGTGGTCCGTCAGCTGCAGTTTTCTGAAGCTCTGGATCTAAATAATAGTTATAATAATAATCAAACCCTGAAATGAAACGATCTGAGCGTATTTCAGTTTTCTGTGGAGGAGGAACCTCTCCTCCACACCAACTGTCCAGATTCTGCAGAACCGGGCCGAGGATGGTGCTGCCAACTCTGAGCGTTCACACGGGTCTGCTTTGAGTTCTGGATCCGTTCATGTCGAGCAACAGGTGGAGGGAGCTGCAGGGGGTTGCATAACACTGACACCCCCTCAGGCTCAGCACACTGAGCTGAGGAGCTTCTTCATCGCTCCTCCTCATCCTCCGTCAGGTAGTAAACCGGATGTTTGTCCGACTGGTTTTACATTTGTCCTGGTTACTGGTGTGTTAGTCTCTAAACTGGTTCGACATAAGAGTTTTTATCTTCAGTCCTAAAAAAAACCGAATAAAAAGTGTGAAGAAGAGTTCCTGCTTGAAACGTGAACAGACTGAAGGAGCTGTGGCGCCACCTGGAGGACAAACTGAGCAGCACAGATGTTCCTCTGAACTTCTAACTGGAAACATCTGGTGCTGCTGCTGCTGCTGCTGCTGCTGCTGCTGATGATGATGCTGATGATGATGGGTGGAAATGTTCTGGTCCAGATGTTTCATCTCTGATGTTGGGACTTCACTGCTGCTAAAAATTATTATAAAAAATTAACAGCGCAGCTCAGTCCTGATGAGATGGAATGAACACGTCCATCCATCCAACATCCATCCATCCATCCAACCCTCTGTCCATTCAACCAACCATCCATCCAACCTTCTATCCAACAGCCATCCATCATTCGTTACATCCATCCAACCTTACATCCAACATTAACCTTCAGTTAATTTTCAGGGGACATTTTTTTAATACTTTTTAGGTTTACCAGAAAAACAGACAATGAGAATCATCTTCAAACTGGCTGATCATGTTTATTAGTGTCCCTGGACTTCTGCCCCACAGGAAGACCTGCAGGGTGGTGGAAGACCTGCAGGGTGGTGGAAGACCT